GTGCACCCCAAGTCTCTAGCTATAAGAGTCTCATCCTCGAAGTACTGAGTAGATCACCTGCTGAAACTGCATCTCTACTCAGCCTATCGCCATGCTTTTTCTACAGGGATACGTATGGTGTCGTTCCGCCTCCTCGCGCCTCCTCCAGTCTTCCCCTGTAGGTACATAGTGTGTCGAACATGTTCTTCTGTTAGGCAGATTTCTGTATAAGGTGATGAGGTTTCTGAACCCTACCTTCGGTTATCAGTCTATCGTTCATTAACCGTCAAAACGTTTCCGCCTTCGTTCGTACCCTAAAGCAGGGACATATGTTCATAACGCACCTACCCCTCGCTCCCTGGAAACCATCTTCTCGTCCTTGTCGCAGGAAACGAACAATGATACAATCAAGGATTGCTCGACAGGGTGATGTAAACTTGGGCTTGTTCCCTTTCGCCGCTATTGTAGCCGTGAACGCCTGTTCAGAACACTGAAACGGTCAACCAGCGAAGCTCTGGTAGATCATGATAAATTTCTAACTGGTGATCATAACCATCCAGTAGGTGGGAAGTGGCTGCCACTATTCAGTCCATCGAATAATCAGCTCTCCGTGGAAGTCAATGGCGGTCCAAGGTTCACGAGATGGCTCCTACTCACCTTGGAGTAGCGTGACTACTTGACAGCCTTCTACATCTCCTTTACCTCAAGAAAAGAGTTTTAAAAGACAGCCAGCGAGGAGAAATATGAACTCAGGTTTCTACGCCACGGAATTCGCCTCTGGATCTAGGTGGCCGGGAAACATTCTTCTGGTTATCGCACTGGTGCCCCCTTCCGTTTGTTACTCGCACATGATGCACACTTTGCGATTCCTCATTTTGCCTTTTTATGACGATAGCCTCGAAATATTAAATATAAAAGCGCGCCATAAATAACATCGATAGTAATCTTAGAGGGAAGAATTTATAAGTTTCTCAATATAATTTATTCCAGTTTTAAAAATATTATTTGAATTTAATGCGGCTGGAAAGTTGTTCATTGCGATGGTTTATAAAGGGGTTATTCCTCGAAGATATGCTACATGGAATTTACCCAATGTTCCAGACTGTGATTGATTCGTTGTGATGGAGCCGTAATGCACTTACAGTTTACAGTAATTAACTACTAAATACTTTTCAAATTAGCATTCGTTCTTCGAGAAAAGAACGAATCACAATTTTTGTTTTCATCTCTTCAACCCGTGCTAATACTGGCCAGGGAAGAAAACGACTTTACAATGTGATAAGTAGATTCGAGGACAGCACTGTTCCAAGGGTTTTGCCTAAACGACTGGCGAAGAACTCGAAAAAATCAACAGTTGTGTGTATCTCAGCCATCGGATTGACCGCATGAACTCATTAGACGGGAAATCAGCCGAAAAAAGAAAAGCAGCATAAGCCAGCTCAATCGTATTAAACCACCATTACTCGATGGTGCCGATGCAGGCTAGCGGGGAACTGTTCCATTCAACCGTGTTAACCGTCGTGATCTGCGGCGTTGAATGGTAATCTGCTGCTAAATTGAAAACAAGAAGTTGATGATCTCACAGAGAGCGACGTAGCGAAAAGTATGATATGTGTTTCACGAGCATCACGTTCTGAGTGCAGATATTCGACAACAGACTGAATTAATAAACATAGTTTCCGCCTTCTGCGACGGCAAGAGAAGATGGCTACCCCTCCCCAGTCATATGACACGTTGTGGACTAACGAAACTGGGTTCAGGAGGACCAGCAGCGTCAAATCATTCGTCATTAAAGAAGCTGGGAAGATCCGATGGTCAGATTAATTAGTGGAGGCAGCAAGCGGCAAACAGAATATTGCAGGAGCTTTGAGTTGCGCTCATGGCGCATCCATGACAAGGATCAGAAAAAAAGGACAAGTTCCCTGTAAATTATTTATTGATTTAAAACATCCAATGAAGAATGATTTGGCCATATATTTAAAGAGAATGTATTAGGTAAATGAAATTAGTGGAGAACTCGTTCTGTTGTTCCGGACTGCAGTAGCAGATGCTCTTTTATCTTTAACGTAGACGAGCGAGCGTGTCATAAACATCAAAACCGTCGGATAAAAAGATTCTTGTAATCAGGGTCTGGCGGGACCCCTAGTGCTTTTAAGGTCAGTTCTGTTTATTATAAGGATTTATCCCTCCCCACCCTTGATTTCGAACTTGGAGGGAAAAAAACTGTTCGTCGTACTAGTCCGTGCAACAAAGCATGAAAACTTCTTTCGTCGTACCGTCTATCTTCGAAACGAAGAATGATGAGGATTTCATGATTATCGTATTAACCGATGATAAAATGTTAAATGATGAAATTCCTAATGACTGATAAAGCTAGTTCGTTCAAACTGATTTACTGTTACCATAAGCCTCGCTAGTAATGCGTAATACTGTATTCAATGTTCATCTCCAAAGTCAGCATGATGAAATTGCCGCGTCATCTGTTTACTAGTCACAGGACGACAGTATTCATTATGTAGATTTAGTATTTAACTCAATTATTAATAGCCAAGCCTGCACCTTTTCATAATATAGTAGTCAAGAGAAATAATTTTATTAATCCACAATCTTATCAAGATATCGACTTATCGACAGAGATACAGATTATCATGGCAAAACGTAAATTAGAGGCATTCGTGCGGATCAATATAAGGGTATTTCTTTGCAACAACACTGAACGCATACTTCAGGGTTATACTCATCTTCTCAAACTTGCTTAGTGCCAGTAATTAATTAGGTGATTCTAGCCTGTAGAATATTTGTTCTGTATTTGTTGAGCTCATTATCTTGATCCATCTGCAGTAGCTAGATGTATGTGGCTTGTTACATCCGTTGCATCAGCAGCTTTTCAACACATTTCCTATAAGGCAAGGCTTACGGCATCGTAGAAGGAAATATTCACCACCAAAAGCAGATCTGCCTCTACCGCAATCTTTCATTTTATATATTGGTCACTATCTGATATTTGCCGTGTTTTGGCTCCAACACGAGAAGCTCCTGGGCTGCAATAAATGGTGTATGCTCATCCGGATGGTGTAACAATGCCAATTTCCTTTTCTTAATTTTCACATTTACTGACGTCATCCGTGCAAGGTAGTGCCTGGAGTCATTCGTTACGTGTTCCTGCCATTTAACTCTCATTATGGGTCGACGCCAACACCACCATCGTCGTTGCTCCTTCGTTAGAACAACCGTCTCCGTGCCGTACGTCAACGCCGACCTGACAAGGCAAGGTGCAGGCGGATGTTCGTTCGAATAGCGGCTCATTTCGCAGCACGAATATTAATCAGATTTTCAGAAGCATCGAGGCTTGGGCAATCCTCATATTTGACTATAGCTGGATAGTGCCACCTCTGGAGATGAAAGAGATGAGATTCATAAACTGGACAGCCTTTTGAATGACTTGACCTCCCTCTTCTACTTCTGGTCAACCGTGCGGCATGGATTCCTCATAACTTTTAGCTGCCAGGTGTTAAGGCGGAGGTCGGTTTCCACACCTGTGTGAAATACGGAAGCCATCAGATGAGAGGGTCTGCTTCTCGTATTACTCACCAGGACAATATAATTTGCAAGTTAGGAGGATATCCCGAATTGTGCTTTTCCTTTAGAATGAGATCTTCGTTTTTACCAGGGTCAGCACTGGTTCAAA